GGGTGGGGGGGCCCCCGCGGCCGGGGCCCCAGGGGGGGGGGGGGGCCCCCTTTTTGGGGGAAAGGGGGAAAAAAAAACATGACCATTTGCTGGGGGTAGACGCCAAAGTTGTTGCGCTGCGGGCCGGCGTAGAACATGGGGCCCTGGCCGGGGTAGGGCATGCCCGGCATGCCGGCACCCTGCTGCGGCATGCCGCGGGCAGGCGTGTGCTGCGAGTGCTGGGCCTCGAGCTTGGCGCGGCGGACCTCGCGGCGCTCGGCGAGGGCGACGTAGATGGGCTTGGAGCCGAGGATGCGCGAGGACATCTCTGAGACGGCGCGCGAGGCTTCCTCCTGGGTGGTGAAGCAGACAAAGCCGAAGCCGCGCGAGGCGCCCTCGGGCGTGCGCATGACCTTGGCCGACGAGATGGTGCCAAACTCGGCAAAGGCCTCGCGGAGGGCGTCATCGTCGATCGAGTCGTCGAGGTTCTTGACGTACAGGTTGATGCCCTGGTACTTGTTGAGGCGCTCCTGGCGGAGCTTCTCGAACTTCTTCTTGAGCTCCTTCTCACGCTCGGCCTTCTTCTGGGCGCGCGAGACAAAGAGCGTCTGCGTCTCCGCGGCGTCCTCGCCGTCGGCGGCAGCAGGAGCAGGGAGCTCCTGGCCGTTGAACTGGTCGACGGCGGCCTTGGCGGCCTCGGGCGTCTCAAAGTTGACAAAGCCAAAGCCGAGCGAAGCGCCCTCGGCGGAGCGGCGGACGACGGCCGAGGTGATGGTGCCAGCAGGCGTAAAGTGGGCCTCGAGCTTGGCCTCGTCCCAGTCGAGCGGGATGTTCTTGACGTACACGTTGGTGAACCGCTGCTCGCCCTGGGCGGCGGCGCGCTCCGAGCGCGGCACAAACTTGCCGACGTACACCTGCTTGTTGTTGAGCAGCATGCCGTTGAGCTTGGCAATGGCCTCGTCAGCGGCCTTCTGCGTCTCGTAGTGGACAAAGCCATAGCCGAGCGACTCGCCGGTCGACTCGTTGATCATGACCTTGCACGAGAGGATGTTGCCAAAGGCCGAGAAAGCGTCGTAGAGCGACTTGTTGTCGATGTTCTTGTCGAGGTTCTTGATGAAGATGTTGCCCACGCCCGACTTGCGGATGGTCGGGTCGCGGTGCGACCACATGATCCGGCACGGCTTGCCGCGGATGAGGGTGTAGTTCATGGTGTCGAGCGCACGCTCGGCGTCGGCCACGTTGTGGAAGTTGACGTAGGCGTAGCCGAGCGAGCGGCGGGTCATGGCATCACGGCAGACACGGATGGACGAGACAGCGCCAACAACGTTGAACAGGTCAAAGAGGAGGGCCTCGGAGATGTCAGCAGCGAGGTCGCCGACGTAGAGCGAAGGCGAAGCGTACGGCGTGTTCATCTTGGGGATGGATGGAGGTTGGGATGGATTTTTTTGTCGGACGTCGAAAGTTACGTTCCTAGTCTTTGGTCGCGGAAGGGGCCTCAGTCAAGTGGCTTCCGGAAGGCAAAGAGAGGGAAGGGGAAGGGGTGAGGAGTCTGTTGTTCCTACACCAAACACTCAACGCGTTTCTGGTTTTTTGGAAGGGGGGAGGGGGGGTGCGTGTGCTTCGACGGGGTCGAAACAAGCAAGGGTAATTCGAGAGGGATGGCAAGCTTGATGACCGCCCGTGGATGGCGCCACGAACGCCACCACACCTGCCTGTCCGTCCTCCCACCCGTTCGCTCGTCCAATTGGACGATTCGTCGTTCGTTCGGCTGTTTATTGGCTGTCGAACGCGAAAGAGCCTTCCATGGAGAGAGTTCGTCGTCGACTCGCGTTCCCCTCCCCCCACCCCCCCTCCCCCCTTTCCCCTTGCAGGTTTGCGTGTCGATGTCCTCCCCCCTCCCTCTAACCGCATATCCACCACTAGAACTGCCTTTGCCTGTCCACAGCAGGAAGCACATAGGGCAAGCTAAGCGATCGCAGCTCGTGTCGCCTGTCGTCATCGGAGCCCACGGCATGAGAGACTTGCGCAAAATCTAGATCTCTGCTCATGCACATGTCCCGAACAACACACACACACTTGCACACACACATGCACACTCACACGCACATCCCCTCCCCTGCCCATCCATCACACCTGATCCTTTCCCCAGTCATCCCCATCACCGCCAATCATGAACCACACACAGCAGCACCCCACATCCGCGTTTCGAATCACTATACCTCCCCAGCACCTCTCCCTCCGCTCGCCTCACCTCGCCTCCCCCTCCTTTGTGGGATGACCAGTACAGCACGGGCTCGGCTCATAGCCGACCTGCTTCCGGCTATCACAGCCGAGCCGCTGGCGGCGGAGCTCGCCATTGTTTTCTTCCACGCCGCGGTGTCTGCGCCTGGGCGGGCCACCCTCGTCGCCTCGCCCTTCCCGGCGGCTCTCCTCCGCACCCCGCTGACGGCTCGCGGCGGATACGCCCGGCTGCCGGCGGCACCGGTGCGCGGCGGTGCTGCGCCTGCCGGTGAGCCTGATTGGGACCTCGCCCTGCGCACGCTCGGCAAGCTGCCGTCCATGTACGCCGTGGCGGCCGCCACGGGCGCGCAGGCGCTGATGCGCCTCTCGACAGCCGCTCTCCGGCTGCTCGCCTTTCTGCTCATCGGCGAGCCAGACGCGGCCCCGCTGCGCTTTGCGCTTGTTCGCAGCTGGCCGGCGCCTAGCTGCGCGGGTGTCGACGGCGAGCTTGCCGCCGCGCTCGCCGAGCTCGCGCCGCACGCTGCCCGCGAGCTCGCCGCGGTAGTGCGGGTCGACCACGCCCGAGCTCACGGGTGGGACGCCGACTGCGCCGCCCACGGCGTGAGCCTGGCCTTTCACGGCTCGCCGCTGGAGAACTTCCACTCAATTCTGCGCAACGGCTTTGATCTGGCCTACGCCCGCCGCGATGCCTTTGGCGCCGGCCTCTACTTTACCTCGCAGCTCTCGGTAGCAGCAGCCTTTGCGCCGGCCTTTCGTGGCGGTGCCGGCCGCTTCCGCCCCACCTCGCACCTGCCGCTCCCGCTCCGCATTGTTGCTGTCGTCCACATTGTCAACCATCCCTCGGTCGAGTGTGGTGCCCACAAGCGCTCCGCTGCCGCCGCGCTCCTCTCGCTCACGCCGCAGGTGCCCGAGTCGTACTTTATTGTCCGCGACACCTCCCTTGTCCGCGTCGTCGCCCTCCTTCTCTTTACAGCCCACCCGATCCCTGACCACGCCGCTCCGCTACTCGCATGGCGTGCTGCCGATGCCGATGCCGCGGCTGCGCGCCAGGTCGTCGGTCCGGCCGCTGCCGCCGCCTCGCAGGCTGCGCTCCCCGTCCCGGCCCACCCTGCCGCGCCTGCTGCCGCACCTTCTCTCGGTGGTGCCGCCATTGCCTCGCGCCTGCTCCTTGGCATTGTCGTGGCGTACACGGTCTGGCTTGTCGCCATGGCCTTGCTCTCGTCGACGGTTGCCGGCAAGCGCCTGCGTCGCGCGTTGCGCAAGTGGACGTGACGAGCATGCGGTGTTTGTGTGCCCGCGCGACTCAGACCTGATCGGTCGTTCAAGTGTGACGTCGCAGTAGTCTGTCGAGTGTTGTGTTGGTTGCAGGTACAGGCTGGCGAATTGGTGCACATGAACACCACTTGACTCGAATATCGTGCTGCTCATCACATCACGATGGCCCATCCTGGTAAGGCGCACCCATGTCGCGATCTCCAGCTGTTCCTCTGGGGTGAGCAGAGCGAGTCCGAGATTGCGGCACAGCTTAGCGGCACGCTCGATGTCATTGCTGCCAGCGGCAGTGTCGTTCAGCCCGCGGAGGTCATTGATCAGGCCTTTATGGGCATGGTTGTCAATCGCATGACGGACAACGGCGCCGACCGCGATGTTGCCGCCACTACGGTGGCTGCGCACTGGCCGAGGTGCACTGTCGTAGGTCTCCATCTGCTCGAGCGCTACCTGACTGCGGACGCCTCTGCAAGCGCCAAGTACAACAACGCGAGGTCGGATGCTGACAAGGTCCTGTACTCTTCCTTTGCCCGCTGCGTCGCTCACAAGTACTGTGGCATGATCAACGTCCGCAAGCGCCGTGGCGACGTCCTCGTCTCCCTCACGGCCGCCGACGTCTTTGTTAGCCTCAACGCCAAGTTTGAGTCTGCGGGAGGGCCGAGCGGGCCTGTGTCGAGCGCGTCGGTGTCGTCGTCGACCTCGAGCTCGCAGTAAAGCCTGAGCTTGACCTGGGTGCCGGTTGCCTTGAGTCGAGGGCCAGCAGCCTTGGTAGCCTAGCAGGAAGGTGAGAGGGGGGAGGGATAGGGTCGCGGGCGTAGCGAGCGTGTACTGCATGTCGTGTACGGGTATGAGCAGAGACTTGGGTGGGGGAGGGGACGCGGATTGTGTACCCCCTTGGCCTTGTGTGCCCTAAGAGCGGAGACAGCGGTGTCGGGCAAGTCGCGCTACTGCCCGTCAACAACTTTGCCACGTCCAACTTCACTCCTATCACACAAACCTTGATCACCGATGGGTGAAAATCCACAAACTATAAATATATATATTTATCCTCACATTATTTTATATCAACTATAAAAATGACCAATATTTAGTAATTTTCACTCAACATATATATATACATATATTTTATCTGTCACATTTATATATATTTATAGTTGATCACATTTTGTCACGGCGGATGTGGTCGTGCCGCCAATATATCACTGCTAGTCGCCATGCTCCGCAACCCGTCCCATCTCCTCACTTCCCCACCGCGCTCTCCTTCTCACAGACAACCCAGCCTTTACCGCTGACCATCTCCATGGCCTACTGCACCCATGCACCGCTACAGCACCTGACCACTCTGCTGCAGCCCGTAGTCCGTCCATGAGAGCAGGCTGACGCCGTCACGGCACATCCTCCCAACCACGCCCAACCGGCCGGCCTGACTTGCTAACGTTGCAAAGGAACAAAGAGCGGACACACTCGCACTCCTCACGACCTCATCGTCTCGGCACCATGGCGTCTGGCTGCGGCTACACCGGTGTAATCACCATCGATGTCCACGAGGCGCGTAACCTCCTCTCCGGCGACGTGACCATGTCGTCCGACCCTGTACGTACCGTGCCGTCAGGAGCCACACCTGCACCTCAAGCAACGCACCTGCCCTCGCCCACTCACGCCATTCCCACGCACAGTACGTCGTCATCCGGGTCGGCGACCAAAAGGTCGAGACCGACGTGGTGCGGATGAGCAAATCGCCGACGTGGAACGCGCACTTTGAGCTCCACGCCTCCAACGATGGCCTCCTGCGGTTCGAGGTGTGGGACAAGGACACGGCGACCAGCGACGATGCACTCGGCCTGCTCGACATCCCGCTCTCGCAGCACATGTCGAACCAGGACGGCTGGTGCCGCCTTGACCGCCATCCCAAGCTCGACGCTGCCAACATCCCGGCCCGCATCAAGCACCTTGCGGGTGCCATCATGGACGGCGAGATGGTCTACGGCGACATCCGCCTCACCATTGCCTTTGACGGCGCCCATGGCCCTACCGTGCCTATCACAGGCGGAGGTGGTGGTGCTGGCCGCGGCTCGAGCGGTGGCGACTACTTTGGCGGCGGCGGCAGTGGCGAGTCTGGCCCTGGATCGGGCTCGGGATCGTACTCGTACTCGAGCGAGAGCGCCAACGGCTCCAAGCGCCGCGGTCGCCGCAAGCGCGGCGGTGGGCGTGGGCGTGGGCGCGGGCGCGGCAAGGGCAAGAACGGCAAGAGGGGCTCTGGCTCTAACTCCAGCTCCGGATCCGGCTCATCGTGACCTCCCCCGCGCACCTCCGTACCCTTGCCGCTTTCTCCTCTTTTCTATCTCCAAAAATATACCCACTCGCCATGCCCTCCGCTGTCCCACCCAAGCCAAATCGCCCGCGACCTCCTGGCGCGCTGCCGCCCGTAGCATCTTTCGCCACTCCTCGCCATGTCGTCCTCCGAGGGCCCCCGCCCACCTACACTCGCCAGCAAGCGGCGCAAGACGCTGACTGGAGAGCCGACAGCCACGGCAAGCACAAGCACTGCGGCTGCGCCTGCCCGGCGCCGTCGTGCCGGTGCCGTAGGGCTCTCTGCCGGCGGCGGGCGGGCGACTCCGACGGCGCGGCTGCAGAGCGCGCGGGCCGAGGTGCCCAACGCCTTTGGCTCGCTGCATGTACTCGTTGTGGGCGACGACGGGGTGGGCAAGCGGACGCTGGCGGCGGCACTGCGCAGGCTCGAGGCCGCCGCCCAGCTCCCGGTCTCGCTGCGCATCTCGGTTCGCAGCAGCCTCGACAAGCCGGAGGCCTCAGGCAGCGGCGACAGCAGCGCCGCGCCTACCGAGCTGCGGCGAACCGACGTGGCGCGGGTGGACTTTGTCGTCCTGCTGGCGTCCATGGTCTCCACGGCCTCGTGGGTCGTTGTCTATGACATCCTCTCCGCTCTCTCGCTCGACTACCGCATGGGCAAGATCGCCGTCGTCGCCTCGCACACCGACGACCGCGCCCTCTACGCTGTCTCGCGCTCCCATATCCGCGAGGTCGAGGACGCTTACGCCGCGCCCATCCTCCTCGGCTCGCTCATTTCCGAACTTGATGTCCAGGCAATCTGCATCAACCTCTTCCAGCGCATGCTCGCCTCGCTCGGCTCCATCGGCTCCTCCACCGCCCCGCTCCTCCACGCCACCGCCCGCCCCTCCTCGCTCCTCGTCCCCTCTGCACACGAGGCCTGGATCCCTTTCAATCCCGAGTCGGCATACCCGCCTGTCGAGGTCGAGGACGAGCCGCCCGCTTCAACCTCTACCGCCGTCCGCTGATCGCACACCCGAGCATCCGCACCTGTCGCGTCCACCCCTTGAAGGGGATGAAACACCTTGTAACCTGGTACCGTACTGACCCCCCTCCCCTCCCCTCCCCTCCCTCCCCCTCTCTCCTCCACTTCCCTCTGGATCGGTTTATGAAAACCGCGGTCTGTACATGGCGGTCTCGGCAGCAGGTCAAATCCGGTTCGCGCTCTGCTCTGCCACACCACTCGGCCTAGCCTCACCATCAACTTGATCAGTCCTGTTTCCACCCCCGGGTGCAGCCTCGTCTCCGGCCGCAGCCACCTCACTAGCGCCAGCGTCTGCTGTCGCGCGCAATAGCTCCCGTTCGGCCTTTTGCGCGCGAGCCACTTGCGCCGAAAGTCACCTCCAGATCCAACACCGACGGCAGGCTTGCGCTTTTGCTTTCGATCCTTGTCCTTGTCCTTGTCCTTGTCCTTCCCCTTGTCCTTTCTCTTCCCCTTGTTCTTCCCCTTCCCCTTGTCCTTCCCCTTTCTCTTGCGACGCTCATCCCCCGCCTGCGGCGGTCTTCGCTCGCTGCAGTGGGCGAGCTCGGCTCGACAGAGTCAGTTGGCGAGTATTCCGAACTTGGCGAGCTTGGCGAGGTCGGCGAAGACGGGCAGCAGGGGCTCATGGGCGAGGTCGGCGATGTTGGCAAGGCTGGCGATGAGAGCGGGCCAGACTGCGGCACCGCACGCAGGTGGACTGGAAGCTCAAACGAGGTCCCAAAGCTATGCGAGAGAGAGCGGATGACCAGCGCCTCTTGGACGAGCGACGACGGCTCGTCTAGGAGATCCAGCTCGAGCAAGGTCATGATGTGGATGAGAAAGGCAATGTTGGCAGATCGCTCGGCCATGGACACACCTACCCGCTCGGCATCGCGAATAACAACGGCAGCAACTCGATCGCCAAATCCTAGCCCGTCTCGGAGGTAAGTGACGGCGCCGGGGAGCTGCGCAAGCTGAAGCAAGAGCTCCAGGGCAAGCGTGTGGACGCAGTTGGCGAGCGGAAGCGCGAGGACAAGGTCTAGCGCAGCCTCGGGCACCGCCGAGTACAGCACGCCTGTGTTGATCACCCTCAGTCCAAGCCGGGTCACTGCCAAGACAAAGGCCAAGGCCTTGTACTCGGTCGTTCGCATGACCGGCGGCTCGCGCCCCAGCGGTGCGCGGATCGCGTTGCCCAGCTCGGGGAGCACGTCTTGAATTTCGGCCACCACCGGCGGAATCGCCATGTCTGCCGCTGCCCCGGACGAGTCGGCTGCATCGAGGCGCGCAACTCGACCTACCAGCTCAACGAGGTGAGTCGCCATCGCCAGCATGTTCTCCACACGCGCCGCCGCCTCGTAGTCCGGCACATCGGCCGATGAGCACTCAGCAAGTCCAGCGACAACGTGCGCGATCAGACGCGATGCCACCGTCGGCGACCGCAGCGGCGTCAGCAGCGGCGACGGGGGTTTTCGCCGAACCGCAGCCGCTGTGGCACCGCGTCTGCCATAGGCAATGCCGTCAATGCCGTCTCGACGCGCAGCCGCGAGAGCGGTCGCATCGACGGCGGTGTCCGAAACGGTGATGGCGGCAACGTAGGCACCGCTGCAGGCGACGGCGATGCTGAAGGCGATGCAGATGGCGACGCCGGCGGCTCACTGCTCTTGCCCTCGACACCGTCATCCAGACCCAGCGTCGCATCGTCCATAACCATGACCAGTGACGACCACAGATTGAGATGTTCGAGCTCCTCAATCATGATGTCGAGGAGGGAGAGCGAGGAGAGCCACTCCAGGAACGAGACGCATGCCCGCCGCCCCTCAGCCCGCCCGCTCTCGGCCACATGAATGACGGCCTCAAGGAGCGACTGCGCCACGACAGGTTTGCGCTCCATGTACGCGAAAAGGCCGGCAAACCACCGCTCGCCGCGCGCGCGGATGTACGACAACACCCGCCGCGTCTTGGTCCGCAGCAGCACGTCGACCACCATCACCAAGCCAGGAAGCGGATCCCGGATCACCGCTTCCGCCGCGCCCCCACCCTCATCTGCTCTATCAGCACCGCCGTCTATGTGTGCCGCCTCATCAACCAGCCAGCCGATGAGCTCATCAAGCACCTCATTCGTAGACAGCGCCACCCGCAGCTGATCCGGGCAGGCACAGGCCCGTGACGGCGGGCAGGTGCACTCGCATGCCGCCAGCACCAGCCGCAGTGCCACCAGCCGCACATCCGTCGCCTGCGGCGGCATCTGCGTTCCCATAACCAGCCCCACCAGGCCAGCCACCGCCGCCGTCCGCGTCCCGAGATACGTAATCAGCGCCATGTTCTTCACCTGCGCCTGCTGCACCACCACCTCCCGCTGCTCCAGCAGCTATCCCCCACCAGCCCATCCGCCCGACCAGCCAGGGACCAACCAGCCCAGCCCGTCCACCAGCCGACCACCCAGCCCGTCCGCCCTCCACCGTCCACGTCAGTCCCCGCCCGCACTCCGGCTGCACCCCCCCCCTTCCCCTCCCCCTCCCCTCCCCAACTCCCCGTACCTGCTCCAAGGTGGCATCCCCAGACTCAAGCAGGCGGTGGACCTCTGTCTTGAGGTTCCGTCGCCAGAACGCCATGGCCTCCTCCCCGCCACAGTGGCGCGCGAGTGGGCTGTGCCGCTCTGCCATCGCCGGCTGCCCACAGCTGCCCCCCCCCCCCCCCCC